AAGCAGGGGTATAATTGCTCACATAACTAAGAGATGGTCTTAGCAATAATCTACTTAATGGGGACCACGAGGGAATGAGGTGAGTGATGTGAGATGTAGAAAATCACGGGTAATTGAAAACATGCCTTTTTAAAAAAATTTAAAACGCAACTTTGCTTGGGATAACATATCTCGCATGAACGAAAGGGAGGAACCAAAAAATAATTGAAAGAAGCTGATCATTGGAAAATTTTGCACAAATTGAAAGGTAAAATGTGCACGCGCATCTTGCCATCCCTCGAAACAAAGACTTTGCATACACTCTCTTTTCAGATCCCTGGTCAAGAGGGATATTTTGGTACCGGTGAAGGTCCTCTCCAGCTTTCTTGGGCAAGGTAATTTTAGAAAAGCTTGTTATTAGTTTTTCAATTATTCACGCTTTTTAGATACTATATATTGCAAATGCCATTTATATATTCTGGTCCGTCAGGAGTATGGATACCACCAGCAGGAGTTGAAAGAGTAGGCACATTTAAAGGTGATGCTATCCAGGTAAAATACATTCCGATGCTCTCGAGAAGGTGATCTGGACTGTCTGATTGACATGAACTTTCATTGTGTAAATAGAAGATATAGATATAATATATTGTTGTTTTACCGCTTTTTTGTTATTCGGGTCTGTCACGTCGGTTTTTTAGTTTTTTTTGTTTGGATAGACACTGCTTTGTTCTAAATTGTCGTTCAGTGAAGTGATTGTACTGATTAAATCTTATAAAGATTAGTATTTTGCAAGCTTCACAATGGTTCTTGCTGGAGGCAAGGAGTTTTACAAAACTTTTGGAAGAAAAAACAGGATGACTGAAAAAGTGTTTGAGTTTGTCAGTCTGCTATGGGTTCAACTTAAGATGGTTAAATGTTCTCATCACTTGCGGGTCCCGGTTATCAAACAGCGGAGAGGTGAAGCAGATGTTAATGTAAAACGGAGGCAGGTCGTCTACACTGAACACTAAATTCCGTGGAATCACTGCAAAGCGAATTTTATGGCTTCGTCAGTCCCAGCAGCTTTCCCAAAAGCTTAG